GCCTTGGTCTCCAGCCTTTTCCGTTGCCCTTGCTGGGTTCTTCGTAGTCCTGGAGGGCTAGCAGTTTCCATCTCAGGCCAGCCTGAATCCGTGGGTGGCTGGCTGCTTGAGCTCTGAGGTAGTCTCGGGGCTCAGCAGGAAGTCCTTTGGTCAGTCCTCATTGTCTGACTCGTGCTACATATTTGCCATCCCTGCCTGCCCGAAGCTGGGACTGTAGACCCCTGGACTGAGCTGTTGATTTGGCAGCTTGGCCACCTTTGTGCTGAGGATCCTTTCCTTTCCTGTACCATTGCCCCCAGCAGAGGACTCCTTGGGGTGAACAAATCAGGCCACCAGCCTAACACTGCTATTGCTCTCTCAGGCCAAGGACTTGCCAACCTTCAAAGACAATGACTTCCTCAATGAAGGGCAGAAGTTGCACGTGGGAGAAGAGAGTAAAAAGAACTTCCTGGAAAAACTGAAACGGGATGTAGAGGTATATATTTACCCTCGTTTTTACTTTGGTTAAACAGGACCTCCTCTTGTCCCCAGAGCAGAAACCTCTTTAATCTTAAGAAAAATTGAATTCACCACTTCCCAGGAGTGTAGACAAGAGGAAGGGTGGTGATTTGAGCCATGTAGGTAGTTATTTGCATCTAAAGCTAGTGCAAATGTACATTCCATTTGGGGGGACACAATTTGTGCCAGTAGAACGTGTGTAACTCGGTTTGGAGTGCTTTCCCTCATCTCTTCCCTAGTCTGTTCCAACCCCTCTTCAAGCTTCCTTTCTGGTGGTGTCCCCGTAGTGGAGGGGGCATCCAGCTGTCAGAGTGACAGGAAACCAGCTGTTAAGATCTGCCAACCGTGCCTTTCTCTGGCTCTGATTCTCCACTTACCTAGCAGCATTCTGGTTGGAACAGGACTTCCTGTGGAGAAGTTCCTTTGGGGAGGACAGGTGGTAAATAATGAATGTGATATCTGATAATTCAGTGTCTCCTATTTTTTTTTTTTTAATATTTATTTGGCTGTGCCAGGTCTTAGTTGCGGCACGCGGAGCTTCATTGCTGCGTACGGGATCTTTAGTTGCGGCATGTGGGATCTAGTTCCTTGACCGGGGATAGAAACCGGGTCCCCTGCATTGGGAGCACAGAGTCTTAGCCACTGGACTGCCAGGGAAGTCCCAGTGTCTCCTATTTTAATCAGTTGGGAGCCTGTTCATTAAAACCAAATTCTATAAACTTCAGCAAATGTTTTATTTTTTTTATTGTGGTAAAATATGCATAACATAAAATTTACTATCTTAACCATTTTGAAGTTGAGTGGCATTAAGTACATTGACATGGTTGTGCAAGCATCCCCACCATCCATCTCCAGAACTTTTTCATCTTCTCAAACGAGAACTCTGTACCCAAGAAACACTAATTCCCCATTCCCCCTTCTCCCTTGCCCCTGGCAACCACCATTCTACTTTGTGTCTCTGTGAAATTGACGGCTCTAGGAATCTCATATAAGTAGATCATACAGTGTTTGTCCTTTGTGTCTGGCTTATTTTCACTTACCGTAATGTCTTCAAGGATCATCCATGTTGTGCTATGTGTCAGAATGTCCTTCCTTTTTGAGGCTGAGTAATATTCCATTGTATGAATATACTACATTTTGTTTACCTGTTCATCCATTGATGGACACTTGGTCACTAGTTAAGGTTAACTAATTAATCTAGTTTCTAGTCTCCAGAGAAACAGAATAGGGTGTAGAGAGATAGGTAGATGTTTATTGTAAGGAATTGGCTCACATAATTATGGAGGTTGACACGTCCCAAGATCTGCAGTTGACCAGCTAGAGACCCAGGAGACCTGATGGTGTAGCTTTAGTCCAGAGGCCAGCAGGCTTGAGACCCAGGAAGAACTGATGTTTCAGTCTGCATCTGAAGGCAGGAAAAAACTGATGTCCCAGCTCAGAGGCAGTTAGGCAGGAGGAGTTCCCTTTTACTCACAGGAGAGTCAGCCTTTTCGTTCTTCTCAGCCCTTCGACTGATTGGACGAGGCCCACCTACTTTAGGGAGAGCTGTCTGCTTTACTCAATTTACCAATTCAAATGTTAAGCTCATCCATAAACACCCTCACAGACATATCCAGAATAATATTCGACCCAATTTCTGGGCACCCAGTAGCCCAGTCAAGTTGACACATAAAATCAACCCTCACACTTGGATTGCTTCATTGTGAATAATGCTCCTGCGAACATGGGTTTAACAGACTTATTTTTGTTAGTAAGCTTTACCTTAACCACCCCCTACTACGTTTGTGCTTTTATTCTGACATTTGGTTTGTCCAGAGTCTTTCTCCTCCTTTTCCTCCTTTTCTCCCTACTCTGCCTTCAAGAAGAATTTAAGGCAGTTAACACAATTCATTTGTTTTCACTTGCATCTTACTTTATAAATGTTTGCAGATGGACGGGAGGGGGTGCGGCTCACAGAGTCTCTCTTTTCTGGGACACTGGTCCCTTCTCCTTCGGCCTTCAGAGGGCATTGTCCAGAGGTGCTTGCAATGGTGCCCCTCACCTTTCTTTCCTGAGGAGATTCTGCTGATCTCCTACCACTGGGGCTTCTTATGCTTTTAGTTGTCTTCTGGGCCTGTGCATAGAGCCCCTCTGGTCCTATTATGATTCTCCGTCTAGTCAGTCAGACAGTTTCCTGCAGTGCTGCAGGTTCATTTGTGACCATGGCAGGATGCCTGGCACATGGCTGATGGTGGCTGCTGGCTAGTTCACAGAGGACTTGGACCAGTGGCTGTGGTGTCACATTAGTTAAACTGGAATGCCAGTTGGCCATTTCCATCCTGTATCATTCCCACGCTCTTTGTTCTTCTCCAAGTCATTGAGTCCTGGCTCAGGAGACTTAGATACCATCCTGCTCCCAGCACTTGTTATATGGATGAGAAATGCGCAGTGCAGCGTTCCATTATTTCTTTCCTCCACCTCACCTCACCTCACCTCTTGATCCCAGACAGAATCGGCTCTTCCCTCTTCCTGCAGTGCTCCTTCTACTTTTACTCCCACAGCCTCTGCCTGCCTGACTGCTCTTCATTCATTGGGTCAGGCTCAACTCCTTTCCTCAGGGAGGCCCTCTCCCCTCTGCCGTCGACTCCCACAGCTCCTCGCCCTTGTGGAGTGACTGTCTTCTCCATTAGATAGTGAGCTCATTGAGGGCAGAGGCTCTGATGTCTTATTCTCTGCTGTATTTCAGAATGGGAGAATTAAGTTGAAAGGAATGCCTTTTCTCTCCTTTCCAGATGCCACTTTGCCTCTCCAGATGTCCCTTGTAACCTCTTCCTTCCCTCTCTCCTCCCCCCACACCCCTAGTTCCTGGCCCAGCTGAAGATCATGGACTACAGCCTGCTGGTGGGCATCCACGATGTGGACCGGGCAGAGCAGGAGGAGATGGAGGTGGAGGAGCGGGCGGAGGATGAGGAGTGTGAGCACGACGGGGCGGGGGGCAGCCTGCTCTGCTCCTACGGCACACCTCCGGACAGCCCTGGCAACCTCCTCAGCTTTCCCCGGTTCTTTGGTCCTGGGGAATTTGATCCCTCTGTTGATGTCTATGCCATGAAAAGCCATGAAAGTAAGTAGGAACCTCTGCCTGCCTGCCCTGCCCCCAGCCCTCATCCTACCCGCCCTCCCCCTCTTCAGTGGGCCTCCATCTTAGTAACTGCTGACTTTGGCCCCTTTCTGCCTCCATCCTGGGTCACCAGCAGTAACGCTGTCTTCTGGGGCGCTGGGGTCCTTCTCTGTCAGGCCTTCCTTCACCTCTTTGCTTGTCCTGGATAGCTGAGGCCTGGTTTGGCTCTGGTTCATGGGATGGACAAAGCCTCCTAAACGGTGTCACGTCAACCCCACGGGGTGGCTGTGAAGATCACATAAGATAAGAGCTATGAAAGCTTCTAAGAAGAACTCCATGGGTCATTCCTTTCCTCACATTCAAAGTGATAGGGATGAATCTGGGTGTCGTATCTGGAGGGTTATGGACCCAGCTGCTTTCTGCTCTTCTCCCTGCTCTTCCTCCTTTCCTGCTTCCCCTCCCGCTTCAGGTGCCCCCAAGAAGGAGGTTTACTTCATGGCCATCATCGATATCCTCACGCCGTACGATGCTAAGAAGAAAGCTGCACATGCTGCCAAAACAGTGAAACACGGGGTGAGTCCTTCGTGTCTCCATCCGGGCCCGGGGGTGGGGCCTCAGACCCCCGGGGTGAGTCCTTCGTGTCTCCATCCGGGCCTGGGGGTGGGGCCTCAGACCCCCAGGGAGGCCTCCTGCTCGAAGGGGATGCTCTCGTGGCCCCTTCTCCCAGGACAGGGACCAGGAAGAGCAGCCCGCCTGGTTGCCTTGTGTTCTTTCTCCGCCATCTACGTCCCATCCCCTCCCTGCAGCTGGCTGATATGCCCAACTTGCTTTGTTCTCTGGCTCCTTCCCCCAGGGCTGCTGGGCATGTCATGCATCTTGTTGACCGCCAGTAATAGCCTTGTTTACATGCCCACACTGCTCGCCAGAGGCCTGTTTCCGCATGGGCTTCAAGCTACTGTTCTCTAAACAGGGGCCCCCCAGAGCTCTGGGGCCCCTCTGCCGTCTCCCCATTGTCTTGTTCCTGCTTCAGTGGGAGCAGCCCTGGGATTGTGAATCAGAGGAGCGGGGCCAGGGCACTTCTGAGACATGGGAACCATTTCTCAAAGTGGCCTGCCCAGTTGGGGGCGGGGGGCAGTATTCAACTCTAACGTGGAGCCAGAGGCTCCTGAATACCCAGGCCCCTCCTAGGTACAGCCTCCTGATTAGGGCCTCTGTGTATTACAGGCGGGAGCGGAGATCTCAACTGTGAACCCTGAGCAGTACTCCAAACGCTTCAACGAGTTCATGTCCAACATCCTGACGTAGTTACCCTCTACCTTCAGCCAGAGCCAGAGTGCTGGATGTGGGGTCGGGGATTGGAAGAGGGAGAGGGTGTTATTTGGGCTGGATGGGAGGGTGGGGAGCAGAGTGGCGGGTAGGGGAGGGCTTTAGCAATGCGACTGCAGCCTGTGACACTGGAAGAGACTAGCTGGAGAGGAGGGGATGTGCTGTGTGTGCGCGTGCTCACAGGACGTAACCTCACCTGCTTACCCTTGATTCCCCCCCATTTGACCCAGGTTAAAAAGGGGTTTCCTTTTTGTTACCCTGTAACTTTTTAAGATACCTTGGGGCTAGAGATGACTTTGTGGGTTTATTTGGGTTTTGTTTCTGAAATTTCGTTGCTCCAGATTCGCTATTTATAACGATGTATGTCATCACCCTATCCACCCTCCCCATCCCTGACCTGCTCTCACTTCCCTTCGATTAGAGAAGCACCCATAGACCCAGCGAAGGGTCCTCTCAGAGCAAAGCGCTCTGGTGCCACAGGAGAGGAGGTTAGACGCCTCTGCCCTCCCTGCTGCATTTGATCTTGTCGAGGTTAACTTTTAACTTCATGGAGTATTGTGCACAGCTTCCTCCACTTTTTCAGCCTCAGCTCCAAGTGAAATGTTACATGATTCCTCCATCTAAGTGCTGTTCTTCCCGAAGGAACACTCCAGATCAACATCAGGCATCTTGGATCAGAATCAAAGATCTCAGAGGGGAGTGAGTTCATCCTCATGGGATGGTAAGGGGTCGGGGGCTGCTGGGCTCTTGGACAGCTGGTTCTCAGAGAACCCCATGATCACCACCCAAGCTCCTGGGCTCTCTCGGCCCCTGGAGTTCAGATGTCTTCTCTGTAAAGCCTCCCACTGAGTCAAGAGGAACTAGAAAGCACCTTTGGCTATAACAGGACCCTCGTGCTTATTAAACGGTTATTTCCCCTTGGGAAAGCCCAGCAAAGCTGATGAGTATCGAATGAGGTCCTATGCCCTCCATCCATTTACTTCCTTCTGACCTTCTCCCAGGCACTCTCATTTGTAGGTGAGCTTTTAGTTGGGGGCAGATCTCCATGTGCCTGGGGTGCTCCTTGCAGAGATACCTCTTCAACCCCCAGGGCTGCCATGTAGGTAATCTGACTCCCTGTGGTTTGTCACCTGGATGGTTGTGGCCAGCAGGGAGTGGTGCCCCCCACCTTGGAGCGTGGCACCCAAGCCTGAGGTTGCTTCTGAGCCACTTGAGGATCTGACCTGGGAAATCCAATTTGGAGGCTTGATGTGCGATTCAACCTGGCCCCAACCTTGGATCTGGTTTTCCTCGATGGCCCCCCAGACTTTTCGCAGATCTGCCACCCGCAAGCCTCCTCAGGAGTGGCATCCTGCAGCTTCCTTCAGGATCTCTACCCACCTTCTGAGCCGGCTACCTAAGCCTCAGAATTGTGTCCTTCTGCGATGCCGTCAGAGCAGTCTGGTCTGGCTAGGAGAGAAGACAGCCCTGTGTTGGGGGAGGTACATTCCTGCGTCTTCTCACCATCTCACCAGGAACTGGGGTCTTGGGATGAGACACGGTAAAACCTGTAGATAACTCCGCAAATGGAAGGAAAGTGTGTGGAACCATTTTGAATGAATGGATTGGTTTCCTTGGCTCCCTGCAAACCTGGCCAAGCTCAGCTTCTGGAGCAGGAACAAGCACCATCTCTGTGCCCAACCCACGGTATTTAGGTCAGGGAGGAATGGAGACCGCATTCTTGGACTCTACTGGGGCTGTTGGAACCCTTCTGGAAGAGGCAGACAGGGGCCAAACAACTGCCCTGGCCCCAGGAAGGGGCTGTAGGTAGCTCTGAACGTCAGCAGCAAGACCGCGAAGTGACCGGAAGAACTTGGAACCAAGTGGCTCGTGGAGAAAACAAATTTGACTTAGGAAGGGATTAGTAGGAATAATGTTTGGACTTGATTTCCCCACCTCCTAATCAAGAATGAAAATTTGGATCTGCTCCTAGGCGAGCCCAGCATCTCCCAAGCTTTTCAGGCTGTCCTCTTGCAGCCTCCACAACCTTGGGCTCCCTCGGCTTCCTGCATTTGGTCTGCTGATCATGTCGCCATCATGTGTACGAAAAGTGTAACCAGTTGTGTTCAGCTGAAGGTGAGCTACCAGGTATCTAGCTTCTTTAACATCGAGTTTTTGTGGGCTTTTGTTTTTGTTTTGTATATTGTTTACATTTTGAGAGGTAGCATTCTGTTTTAAATGCTCTTTTTGTTTTTCTAACAGTATTGTTGACTGGGTCAAAACATTTAAGCTGTGGTTTGGTGGATTTTAAATTTTGTTTAAAGCTCATTCTCTGTGCTATCTTCAAAACCTTGGGTTTGGTCCTTTAACTCCTTTGGCATTCAAATGTTTAAAAGCTATTTATCTGGTTTTATACAAGTTTTTTCTCTTCTTTTTGTAACGATGAAGATGTTAAATTTGGTTTGCAGTCTGAATGTAGAGAAAGTGAAGTGATCCCCAAACCTTTGTGTTTTTTCTCCAAGTCCCACCATGCCCTCTCTGGGCAGGTGTCTGAGGGGAAGTGACTACCCTCACCATCACTCTTTGGAGCCATGAAGAAAAACTGAATGGTCTTACGGCATCCCAGAATAATTTGGTCTCCCAAGAACAAAGGCATAAGAATAGAACGTGGCTGACTGGGTGAGGCCTGGATGGGGACAGGGCAGGATTTTTCTCCATTCTCTCCCTCTGCCATTTAACCAGTCACAGCTTCTCCCGCCCTGCCCCTCTTCTGAAAGTCTGTGGCTGAGAAAACTCTAGTCTCCCAGGTCTCCCCACCAAAGTAAGGGGTTCTCTGAAAACTCCACCTAGACCACTAGAAGGCGGCCTTTGGCCCTTGTTCCTATTAATGAACCACTGAGTCTTTGTCCCCTAGTGCAAGCTCATTCCCTGTGCCCTGCAGTTTGGGGGTTATGGGGCAGGCTAGGAAGCCAGCAGTTCCAGAAGCACAGCCTGAGGCAATGCTCGATGTCTCCTTATCTAGCTCAGGGGTTACTGGTCTGTGGGATGTGCTATGAGTCGCCCCTGTGGGTGCTCTCAGTGGCACTCCCTAGGTTCCCTCCACAGGCAGCTCGTCATCCCTTCTCCCTCTTCCTACTTCTGTTTCTCTTGCCTGTGCTTTAGGCCTCAAACAGGTACCCTGGTAGCGCTCAGGGCTTGGGACTACATACTCCTGCCCTACTGACTTTCCCCTCTTCACAGTCTGCCAGGGCCTGCCCCAGGGAGGTGGACCAAAGACCCAGGACTTTTCTCAGTAGCCAGTCCCACCCTCCTAATTGTCTTTTTACCAATTCAGGTTGGGAGAGAAGAAATTTCAGCAATCCCCAGCATTTGAGCTACTCAAGTGTTAGGGGCCAGAAGGGACAGTGTGTTTAAAACAACCCTTAGGAAGCTCTGGCCTTAGACCTGTGGCTCCCCCAGTACCAGAGACCTCACTTTTTTCTGGCAGAAATGTGGGGAGGAGGCTCCAGCCTGAGCACAGGAATCAAAGGGAAAACATTGAAACTGCCCCCAAATCTACCAGCCATCTGCAGGCGGCTTTGTGACACAGCCCTGGCCTTCTTCTGAAACGTGCCACTTATGAAGAGTGTCTCCAGAGGGACGAGGAGAATCGGCTGTCCCCGGCGGGCAATCCTTTGGAGGCTGGGGAGGAAACTTCCAGAGGAGCCCCTTCCCCTTACTCAGAGCCATTTTGGGAGGAAGTGGGAACCAACAACCTTTGGGGGAAGGCCTGGTGCGGCTCAGCACACCCAAGCATCAGGTCGGGTCATTGTAATAAAAAAATGTGAATGAAGTTTAGATTCAGCTTTTGGGGGAGCAGGATAAACGACCACCCCACCATATGTGTGTGACTTCTCAATTTCCCACTGCAATTTCCATTTTTTTTAAATAGGAATTTTCAACCCCCTGTGCTTGTCTAATGTCTGCTCGGAACAGTTCGAGACCCTGTTACTGTTTTAAGATGCATGCATGTTAAGGTGAATCTCCAACCCGAGGAAAAAAATAAAATTCAAAAACGGTTTGTGTACACACCTGTTATGTATGAGTCCTTCGGAAATAAGCCTTTTATCTATCTTTTTCATAATTAAAAGGTTTTGGTCCCAGTTTTAGGGGCTGCTTGGGCTAAATCAGGGTATGGCTTGAGTTTGGGGAAAGAACAGTCAATGACTTTGGTCACCCACTCTCAGATGCAGTTAATAAGCAATGGTTAAGAGCACAGGCACCGGACCATCTGCCTGTCAGCTGCCATTACCACACTCGCTGAGGAATGGACCAACAGCCCCTCACTTCTCCAGCCGCGTAGAACCAACACTTGCTGGGAGCCACACACCCGACACACCTGTCCTAGCTCTCCCTTGACTAGCTATGTTGCTGACTTAACAAGTCACCTCTATGTGCCTCCGGTTCTCCATCTAAACGTTTAGCTTAAAATCTAGTGGTTCTCGGGCTTCCCTGGTGGCGCAGTGGTTGAGAATCTGCCTGCCAATGCAGGGGACACGGGTTCGAGCCCTGGTCTGGGAAGATCCCACATGCCGCGGAGCAACTAGGCCCGTGAGCCACAACTACCGAGCCTATGCGTCTGGAGCCTGTGCTCCGCAACAAGAGAGGCCTGCGCACCACGTTGAGTGACCCCCGCTCGCCGCAACTAGAGAAAGCCCTCGCACAGAAACGAAGACCCAACACAGCCAAAAAAAAAAAAAAAAAAATCTAGTGGTTCTCAAAGTGTGGTCCTGGACCAGCACCTGGGAATCATAAATTCTTAGGGCCTTCTGCAGCTCTGAATCAGAAACTGTGCTTTAACACGGTGACCCCCCAACCTTTTTGGCACCAGGGATTAAAGACAATTTTTCCACAGATGGTTGTGGGGGATGGTTCAGGCGGTAACACGAGCGATGGGGAGCGGCAGATGAAGCTTCGCTCGCTCGCCCGCTGGTCCGAGGCCCAGGCACTGGGGACCCCTGCTTTAACAAGCCCCCCAGAGTCTAATGGAGGCTAAAGTTTAGGAACTACTTGCTTATTAGGGCATCTGCTACAGGTTGCAAGCTGGAATCACTTGGGGAACTTTTCGAAAAAAGAGGTGCCCCAGCCCCTTTAAAAGGCCAGATAAATCAGGGATGGGATCAAAATACCTGTGTTTTAGAAGCTCCCTAGGTGACTAATATGCAGCTAAGGTTAAGAAACACTGATGTGGTGACTCCCCCGGTGGCGCAGTGGTTAAGAATCCACCTGCCGATGCAGGGGACACGGGTTCAGGCCCTGGTCCGGGAAGATCCCACATGCCACGGAGCAACTGAGCCCGTGTGCCACAACTACTGAGCCTGTGCTCTAGAGCCCGTGAGCCACAACTACCGAGGCTGTGTGCCACAACTACTGAAGCCCGCGTGCCTAGAGCCCGTGCTCCACAAGAGAAGCCACCGCAATCAGAAGCCTGAGCACCGCAACAAAGAGGAGCCCCCGTTCACCGCAACTAGAGAAAGCCCGCGCGCAGCAACAAAGACCCAACGCAGCCAAAAATAAAAAATAAAAAAAACACACACAAAAAAGAAACACTGATGTGCAAGGATATTACTTATGGACACTTGGCCAAATTTCTACCTGAAACAAAGAAGATTTAAGCGTTTTCCGAGAGTTGAGTAAAAAGGATGCTAGGCTTTGGAGTCAAATGGAACATGGGTTGACATCTTTGCCCTATCACAAAGTGGCCCTGGGCAAGTTATTTAACTTGTTAAACAAGGATAATTAATGTATATTACCTTGAGTCAATATGATGATTAAATTTTAGAATGTGTAAAGCACTTTGTGCAGGGCCTAGCACACAGCAGGTACCCAAAAAGTGATTTGTAGATACTATCCCCACTGGTGGACCGGTGGAGCACGCTGCCAGTCAAGAAAACCTGAGGGCTGAGCTATACCCCGAGTAGCTATTTGTAACTGCCCAACTGGGGACAGAGATCTGTGGTAAAACACTCAAAGAAGCAGGAGTGAAAGAAAATCTTTTATTTAAAAAAAAGAAAAAAAGTGGGCTCTGGGAAGAACAGAGTTAGTCCATCCGGGCCTTCAGTGTCCTCGTGGTGATTTTGTCCTTCTCACTGCAGAGGGAGAAAGTCACAGAACGTCTACACCCATTCTAGACTGCAGAACAAACTAGAACAGCTGTCCTAACTCTGGGGTTAACTGTTTTGCCCACGTTACACTAATGTTAGCTTGTTTTCCTGGCCTGTGGTGAGGAAGGGGAGAATGGAGAAACTTCCATAGGTGGAGCCGTCAAGAGTCGGGATGATTCAGGGCTGGAGTGTGAAGCGCCCCAAAGCAGGGAAGGGGCTCCCCAGGCCTCGAGAACGAGTAGCTTAGGAAGGAGGTGCGAGGTGTTTCACTCCAGTGAAGGGAAAAGAGCCTGGGGGTGGTAAATTGTCTGTATTAGCCCCAACCTGTTTTTCACGGTAATTAAGCAGGTTACCCCATAACAAAAGGGTCCAAATGCTTGTTCTGGGAGGTTCCCAAGGAAAGCTGTTGGGAGGATACCAGGTTCCTGGTGACAGCCCCAAATAAGCAAGAGGGAAAGAGGGTGGCAGTTAGGCATCCGGCTGGGGGGTTGGAAAACACTCCCAGGGCTCAGCACACCACACAGTTGTGGGTTCCATGCTGGTGTGAGCTGGGAGAGGACAGGAGCCACCCAGGATTTATTCTGATCAATCTGCAGTAGCTCTGCTGGGGCTCATCCCCACAAAGGTCCCTGAGACTTTGGGGACAGTGCTCAGGAAGGAAAGAAATGTCTATTGTGAGCAAGGGGAGGAGACTCGGGGACACAGAGCCTCACCAGACGGAGGCCAGGGGAATCTGGGTAGGCTCCCACCTTAGCTGCCACCCTTAGGAAGCATGGATTTCTGTTATCCCGGGCCTGCTGCAAGCACCCTTCTTATTTCACACCTGACTAGGGGGCTGGGAAGATGGGGTGTTTGTGCAGGAGGGGAGAGGCACGTGTCTGCAGAGCTTCTAGACTTCTCCCAGTGCACACTTACATGATGTGAACAATGACTCCCATGCCTGACACCGCATCCCTGTCCACAGCATTCAGCATGGCTTGTGAGATGGTTTCAAACAGGTGTTCTGGGTCCTGCCGACAGAGCAGAAACCTTTCAATCCCCAGAGCCTTGGACCCTCACTTGGTCTGGCCCATTAACTCTCTCTTCTCTAGGCTCAAGGTGCCCAGCTCTGGCCCCTCCCGTGTCTGGAGTGAGGGATGGTTCCCTGGATGCGAGAAGCCCCCTCACCTCCTTCTCAGAAGGCAGCAAGGTTACGTAAGATATAGTTCAAGCCCTGCACTTCCTCCGCTAACCAGCATTGTGCCCTTGAGCAAGTCAATGTCCCTTCGCTAAGCCTCAATTCCTCTTCTGTAAAATGGGGGAAGAATCCCCGTGGCTCCTATGTGCTTTACCAGCTATCTCATGGACTCTCCTCCTGGGTGGCTCAGAAGTATTGCACAACTCAACCTGTCCAACCATGAACCCATTTCCCCCCAAACCTGTTGCATCCACCACATCCTCTATCTTGGTTGGCTTAGCTAGAAAACTCAAGTGTCCTCAGCATCTCCACCTCGCTCACTTCTGTTTTAAGTGACCAAGTACTCTAGACTCTGGCTGCCCCGCTCCCCCACTGCCACTCTCTTTGCTCAGGACCTCAGTGCCACACCGACCTGCAGGCCTCTGGTGCCTCAGGTCTCTTACTGCCTTTGACACCATGTCAGAAGAAAAAGTTCCAATGAGGTATCACCTCTCACCAGTTAGAATAGGCATCATCAGAAAATCTACAAAAAACAAATGCTGGAGAGGGTGTGGAGAAAAGGGAACCCTCTTGCACTGTTGGTGGGAATGTAAATTAATACAGCCACTATGGAGAACAGTATGGAGGTTCCTTAAAAAACTAAAAATAGAACTACCATACGACCCAGCAATCCCACTACTGGGCATCTACCCTGAGAAAACCATAATTCAGAAAGAGTCATGTACCAAAATGTTCGTTGCAGCACTATTTACAATAGCCAGGTAGGTCATGGAAGCAACCTAAATGCCCATCGACAGACGAATGGATAAAGAAGATGTGGTACATATATACAATGGAATATTACTCAGCCATAAAAAGGAACGAAACTGGATCATTTGTAGAGACGTGGATGGATCTAGAGACTGTCACACAGAGTGAAGTCAGAAAGAGAAAAACAAATATCGTATAATAACGCATATATGTGGAACCTAGAAAAATGGTACGGATAAACCAGTTTGCAGGGCAGAAATAAAGACACAGATGCAGAGAACTCACGTATGGACACCAAGGGGGGAAAGCGGGGTGGGGGGGGGGGGGTGGTGGTGGGACGAACTGGGAGATTGGGATTGACATGCATACACTAATATGTATAAAATGGAAAACTAATGAGAACCTGCTATATAAAAAATAAAATTCAAAAAAAAAAAAGTTCCAACTGCTTGGCGTGGCATCCAAGGCATTTCCGAGTCTCATCCCGATTTCACTCTCCTCCTTCCTCTCACCCCACATTCTGCCCACACGCCAGCGGCCACAGCAAGCTCTCTCCAGTCACTGAACACACTGGGCCCCTCCTGTACTTCTGACCTTTGCACAGGCTGCTCCTTCTGCCAGCCAGGCCCTTTCTTTCCTCCTGTTCCTGGCAAACTTCATTTCAGCAGGTATCTGTGGGTCTGTCTTATTTCATTAGGCTGCAATAAGCCCTCGAAGACAGACTATCTGGCTTCCCCGGAGCCTGGCAGAGCTGGCACAACAGCCGACCCTGTCAGGTACTGTTCCAATCTTCCCAGGTGATTTCCTCACACCACCACTCATAAAATAGATTCTGTTATTATCCCCATTTTACAGCTAAGGAAGTGGAGGCACAGAGAAGTAAAGTGACTTACCCTGAACATAACTAATGAGATGGTAGGTGGATCTGGGTTTCCAACCCAGACAACCTGACTCCACAGCCCATTCTCCTGAGCTGCCCCTAACCCTATACCTTGTTA